GACTGTGTCAGGTTTCTTTCCCTTTTTCTGCAGGTGCAAACGAATTAATGTGTCCACATATTTGCACCAATCAGGCAATTCTCGATGGTCCACTGAGTGCTGGAAGCCAGTTGCAAAACTTCAAGATCTGTCTCAGAAATTACTTGCCCAAACTTTGCCCCTTTAAGCCTTCCCTGCCCTAGCCCACAAATTCCTTGCTCAATTGCATATCCACCATATATATACAGCCAATGGAGAGGTAGATTCCCCAGCCTGGGAAGCTGTCCTGCCTCTAGAGAGATTTACTTATGGTGTTTTTTCAAGAAACCAAAGATTTTTCATAAAAGCAGAGATCAGCATCTACTGTTTTCAATTATGAAATAATAAAAATTTATGATTACAGTTGCAGCAAGAAAACAGTGTCAGTAAGAGATGACAAGGGGCTGAGAGTTGGACATTTGGCTGGACACCCACAGCGGACCCCTGGGAGCTTGTTTAGTCCAGCTCTGGCCGGTGCAGCGGCGCCACTCTGTGTGGACGTCAGTGTCACTCGGGGTTTTTAGGACAACAGTGACATCAGAGGGAGAAAAAGCCTTCAGTAAACCACAGGAAGGTAGCTCTTCCCAGAAGCATAGTGGTTTCCCTCATAAAAGAACAGCAGGTGTTAGAGTGTCACCAAGGGACTTGACTTCGACCACAAAGCCAAGAAAACTCAAGTGCCTTTAGTAAATCTCGGCTTCTCAGTGACCTCTGAGGGAGCAAATCTGCCAAGGCTAAATTGGCTGACTTTTAGGCCAAAGCCAACGATTTATCTGTGTTGGTTAGGCTCAAATCCTGGAGGCTTTATTGAGATTAGAAGAAAACTTGCTCAGCAGAGAGCAAAGCGGCAGCCAAAATTTGGCCTTTCTGAGGGCAGGGAGGTGTAGTTCTGTGGGAAGGCTTTGGGAAGGGTGGCACAGAGCAGTGAAGGAGTTGCAGTGCCCAGAGCAGGTCAGTGGGGTACATCTGTGCCCTGACCCAGCTTTGTGGGGCTTGTGCCAAATTCCAGTTCTTTGGCTGGGAGCAGTCCTAAGGGGCGAGGTGGGAGCTGTGCTGCCTTACATGAAGCAGCAAATCTCTGCAAAACTCCCAGTGCTGCAGCAGTGGGTGAAATAGAAATGTGTGTGTGTCAGAGAGGGAGAGGAGAATGCCTGGGGAGATGAGAAAGGCTGAAATGAGTCACTCCTTGTCTTTTTTGTCTAATTTGGTAGATAATACAGGGTGTGATGCTTCACTGCCTCCTCGCTGAGTTCCAGGCAGTCAATGAAAGGATCCAGCTGGATCCAGCCCTTATATGGTGCAAAAAGAGGCCGGGAGAAGCGGGCACAGGGACGCACAGGCTGCAGGCGCCTCGGCCCTGAGGTGAGATGCTCTTCTGCTGGGCAAAAGTTTATGGTTGTGACACAAAGTCAAAATTGGAGGTGTTCCACTTAAAAAGTAGTGTTATGAAGCGGCATTTGACACTTGATACAAACATAAGCCCAGCCACGGTGCAGTAACAGCAGCAGGTGATGGCAAACAGGGTGAATCCAGAAATCCCTCATGGGGAGCAGAGCTCCTGGAGCTGTGCTGGGAGCGCAGGATGAGCCCACTCAGAGCAGTGCCAGCTGGGAGAAGGACAAGAATGCCAAGCAAAGGGGATCAGGAGAGCAGTGCTGGGAGTTCCCTAAGCAGGGCTTGGCTCCCTGAGCCTGACTTTACTTCCCAAGCCTGGCCTTGCTCCATGAACAGGACTCAGCTCCCTGAGCTCGACTTTGCTTCCCGAGCCCGGCTTTGCTCTCTTAGAAGGGCTTTGCTCTCTGAACGGGGCTTTGCTCCCCGAGCGGGACTTGGCTCCTTAGGCCGAGCTCTGTTCCTTAGGCCGGGCTCTGTTCCTCAGGCCGGGCTCTGTTCCTTAGGCCGGGCTCTGTTCCTTAGGCCGGGCTCTGTTCCTCAGGCCGGGCTCTGTGCCTCAGGCCGGGCTCTGCTCCTCAGGCCGGGCTCTGTTCCTCAGGCCGGGCTCTGCTCCTCAGGCCGGGCTCTGTTCCTTAGGCCGGGCTCTGTTCCTTAGGCCGAGCTCTGTTCCTCAGGCCGGGCTCTGTTCCTCAGGCCGGGCTCTGTTCCTCAGGCCGGGCTCTGTTCCTTAGGCCGGGCTCTGTTCCTTAGGCCGGGCTCTGTTCCTCAGGCCGGGCCCGGCTCCCTGAGGCGCGCTCAGATTCCCGCGCAGGAATTCGGCGGGAGCCGCCAGGAGCCGGCAGGGGGCGCCGCGGGGCGGGGCCGGGGGCGGGGTCAGCCCTGAGGGACGGGCCCGGCCCGCTGGGCGGGGCCTGTCCCGGTGCCGCGCACTCCCCGCAGCTCCGCCGCAGCCGCGCAGCGCCCGCAGCCCCGGGGCCACCGCGCCCCGACCCCGCGGCCCGGCAAGATGTGGCGGCGCTGGGAAGCGGGATGGGACGAGAAGAGGGAGCTGCAGGAGCTCAACTCCCGCTTGCGGGTCTTCGTGACCCGCGTGCGGGAGCTGGAGGAGGAGAACCGCTTTCTGGCGCGGGAGCTGGCGGAGCTGCGGGAGCAGGAGCTGATCGGGCTCCAGGTGCCCGAGCAGGAGCTGGCCTGGCTGCGGATGCAGCTGGAGGAGCTGAGCCGGGCGAAGCTGGAAGCGGAGCTGGAGCGGGACGGGCTGCGGCGGGAGCTGGAGGAGCTGCGGGCGCTGGGCGCGGAGGTGCTGGGGATGCGGCGGCGCCTGGAGCCCGAGCTGGCCGGGCAGCGGGCGCTGCTGGAGCGGCTGCGGGGCGAGTGCGTGGCCCTGGAGGAGCTGCTGCTGGAGCTGCAGGCCGAGCACGGGCACATGGCGGAGCGGCAGCGGCGGGAGGCGGTGGAGATGCGGGAGCTGCGGCTGAACCTGGCCGCCTTGCCGCCCCCCTTGGCCGGGCTGAGCCTGGAGGAGCTGGAGGAGACCTACGAGATGCTGCTCAGCCAGAGCTGCCGGGAGACCCTGCTGCGCTACCAGGAGCAGATCCAGGTGCTGCAGGAGCAGGAGGCGCAGCGCAACCGGGAGAACCTGGAGCTGCTGCGGGAGGAGAGCCGGCAGTGCCGGCAGCACCTGGAGGATCTGCACCGCCAGGGCCAGGAGCTGTGCGCGCTGCGGGAGCGGCTGGAGCAGGAGATGCTGGCCCTGCAGGACCGCCACGGCGCCGAGCTGGAGGAGTACCAGGTGGGTGGCACATGGCCCGTGGTTCTCCCGCTTCCTTCCTCCCCTCGGTGCCTGTTCTGGGGCTCCCCTGACACTCCTGGCTCTCGCGTTTTCCCTTCAGTTCTGTGAGCCCGAGTTTCCCGTCCCTCCTCCCTGCTCTGCTCCGGGGGGTGCTCCAGCCGCTCTGACCCGGTGTGGTCCAGGCTCGCCCCGCGTTGCCTCCTGCCGTGGGTTTCCGCAGGCTGGAAGAGGGGGTGGCCCGGCAGGAGCCTTTCGCTGCCGAGCCCTTCTCTGTCGGAGCCCCCGGGGGGTTTGGGGAGAGCTGGGTGCCAAGGGTGTGACTCAGAAGGGAGACAGTGTCCCTGAGGACATCATCCTGTGACAGGTGCTCCCTTCCCAACCTGCCCTGGGCAGGTGGCCAAGGGCATGGAGCGGGCACACCGCCTTGCCAGGGCTCCTGGCAGGAGCGCCGGGGACACGGAGCAGTCCCTGGGAGCGAATGAACCGTGGGACACGGCCCTGAGGCTTGAGGGTGGCCTGTCCTCATCAGAGAAATAATCCGGAATTTTTTCCTATTTTATACCCATTCCAGTGTGCCTTGAGCTTCGAGAAAAGCTGTGGTCCCCAGCGTAGTTAAGAAAACTTTGTGTAAAGGCGAGAAGTGTTGGGGGTGGATGTTGGTGGTGTCAAGCAGGGTTTTACAGTGTCTGCGGCTGAGGATTTGTTTGCTGCCAGGATGATGCTCGGAGTGATGTGTGGGAGGGGATCAGCTCCGGCCGGAACAGCGGAGTGTCCGCTCGGAGTGGAGAGCACATGTTAGATCATGCAGCCCATCCATCCATCCATTTCCTGGGGGCAACATTTCTTTTGTTCATTGTTAGACCCGTTATTAACACCCTGCTGGAGCTCGGTGTGTGCCTGAACCCCGTGTTTGCCCAGCTTTGTGGAGATGTTGGCAGCTGGGAAGGGGCTGGGACCTGTTGCTGTGTGTGTGTGTCTGGTTTTTGTACTCTGCTGGATTGTTTGGAAGCTGCATAGTTTGCAGATGCTGTGAACTGAGACAGATTAGCTAAATCAGAAGTAATTGGAAAGGCTCTTAACTTTAAAATATTTTTTTTGCTGTTTTTGACAGAACAATTAATTCTCACAGTCACATCTCTAAACATTCCCAAAGCTGTAGAGATGACATATGTAAATCTCTCATTAATTAAACCTATCCAACAGGCAAAACCAGGTGAAAATGTAAAGAAGAAATAAACCTTTTCATTTTTTCCATTTTATATTTAAAGTTTCTTAGATTTCCAAAACATGGCCTTCTTGCTGCCTATATTTTTATTAGGGGTTTATCATTAAAGTCATCATTGCTCAAACTGAAAACTTCTAAATAGGCAGTAAAGAGAGCATTTTGTATAACTTGCTGTCCATGCCACAAGTTTTTCTTCTAAAACCAGTGAGAATAGCTTTCATTTAACTTGCTCAGCAATAACAAGCTCAGTTATATCTATCTGGTTGTATTTTTAAAGAATCTTCTTTGAAAGAGCAACTGGAGAAACCTGTTATAGATGACAGCAATCTATTGCAGAAGTCAAATAATCAAAATCAATGAATGGCCTTGAATGTTCCTAATGCAATGCTCCAAAATGGATTGTTATTTTGACACCAGCATCGCAGTCTTCTCTGTTACTCTCATGAATGTTTGGCATCTTTAGATTTTACAGGAAAAGTAGTTTGAAATCTTAGTAATACAACAAGACAGAAAAAGTGTGTTGAAAATATCCGACCATTTTCACCAGAAATTAAATATTATCTAGATGCATTCAAATATGTCATAAGGTTTATTAATTCTGAATGGTCATATGTTTGGGTTTTAATGAGAAAGGCCTTTTTGCAGTTGCCTGTCTCCCGTCCATGAGAAATAAAATCTTTTGCTCATATCCAGGAAGGAAAATTATGGAATGCGTAGGAGCAGCTGTTTCAGGTTTCATTCTTGGGATCAAAGCTTTTTTTTCCCCCACTCATTTCTCTTACTGGTTGAAGTATGTTCAGCATGGGTTTTAAACTACTCTTTAAAAAGCATCAATTCCATGCTTATTTATTGTAGAGTGTCATGTGGAAATGATATGTATGTACAGATTAAAGTTATTATTGTTCATTGCAGCTGCAATGGCAATTAGATTTATTCATATTTTCCATATATCATCCAGTTGCCTTATATGTTCATCTTTGCCTCCTGAACTGCCCTTATCCTTACAGAAGCTTTCAGCAGTGTTAAATTGAAAAAAAGTATTTGGAGTTAAAATGAGCCAGGCAGGCAGTAAATCATACACTGGAAAATTTTCACTGGTTCTGAGTGCTAAAGGGATGAACTCAGCAGTCTCTTAATTCCATAATTTTAGCTGTGTGCTATGAGAATACTGATACAAAAACTCCTGGTGGCTTGAAAACCCTGAATTATTTGAATGTAAAACCATCCGTGGCCCATCCTGCTTCTCTGAAAGGAGGCAGATATTTTTCATTGATAAGAGTGGGTTTAGGATCAGTTCCTGTGTCAATGTTGTGAGCTCGAGAGAAGAAGAAAACATCTTGTCAAATGCACATTTAATGTCGATATGTCATGTGCCTTTCTCTGCGTACCAGTTTTGAGCCAGCCAAGTGCAGGGTGAGTTCCTCCCCTGCTGAGCCATGAATGACTATGGGATCAGTAAATAGTACCAGATGGAAAGGGCTGGGGCCTGGAATTCTCTATTCCCTCAGTAGGTAAAGCTTGGACAACCCAAGTAAATTCTTTCCCCCCTGCTGCCCTTCTAAAATTTCTCAGTGCTGCCTGAAAAAGAACACATGAAGGGTGAGAAAACAGTTTCTATTCCTTTACTTAGCCCTAGCAGGACATCACTGGGATTTGGGGGCTGTGATTGATGTGGCTGGGAAGCAGATCTTTCCAAGAGAGTCCTGTGTGAAGAAAACACCAGATCTGCCAAGTAGAGGTTACCTTTTGCAAAATGGGTTTGTTGGCTCGCAGTCTCCTGGACTTGGATGGATTGGTTTCTGTGCTTTTTGGCCTGCTTGGAGACAAGACTTGAGACCAGTTGTATTCTGCTTTATGTTTGAGCATCAGTGATGGAGGGCTGGGTGTCTGGCTGTCTGCCAGTCTTTATAGTGTCTGCTCCCACTGGAATTAATTCCTTTGGAGCTACTGCACAGCTGGCTGAGTTCTGTGGCCCCTTATGGTAATCATTAACTCCAGCCCTTGGATCCCCAGTGCTCTCCAGCCCCATGGGCAGAATCCAGGTGGCTTTTCAAACCCAGACTAAGAATTTGGGGTGAGGGACTGAAGCTCCTGTGTTCTTAGATGGGTTTGAACAGCCCCTGTCTTTCAGAACTCCCCACACTCTGTAGTCCAGTGTAGAAATTTCCTATGTGGATTTTTTCTGGGACTGCAGCATTTAAAAACTCTTCTGAAGGAATGCATGCACATGTATAGGTTATTCTGTGTTTAATTGTAGAGGCAATAAATGTCTGAATCATTTAACTTTTGTATCTGAGCTCTTAGGGATTGGTTTTCTTCTGCACCTTTTGCTGACTCCCAGTTCTGTTGCACCCTGGCCATTCTTGCTGGATAGGCTTTACCTTTTAAAAGCAGTACTTGTACTTTTCTTCCTTTCTCACCTCAGGATTTTCCATTGTGTCTGTGCTGTCCTTGAACAGGATTGTTACCTCAGAGCTGCTGAAGGGCTGCCTGGCTGTGGGATGGTGCCTCCTCTGGGGTCTGCAGGAGGCTGTTGGGGGTTTGTGGTGCTCTATCAGATATGCAGATATGGTTTGTCTTCTGCTATAAAAAGGGAATTTTAAGTACACTGAAGACTGTAGGCAAGGATTGTTCTGTCAGGGGGAACATCAGTGTAATCCTTTAGCAGGAGCTGCAAAGGCAAATGGAGAAAGAAATTAATGTGTTATATGGAGAACTGTACCCATGTGTAAAAGCAAATATAGGCAGCTTCCTTCATAGAGCTTTCTTTTTAGTTTTACTTTAAAAACCCTAAAACTATTAATGTTTGACATGCCAGCACTTTATATTCTTAGTTCTTACTTTTGCCTAGCACATCATGCTGGCATTAACAGCAGAGTCCCCTGCTGTATCTTCATTTTTATGCTATTGCTCATACTGTGATAGTGGAGCACTTGCTGCCGATAAGTGATATATTTTGAATTTTTTAAAACTAAACCATCAGCGCCTTGATTTTCCAGTTCAATTGCAAAGCAGTTTTCAGGATGACATCTAAAAGACACTCTTGTGAATTCCTGTTCAGTGTTGTACATGTGTATGAGGTTTTGCTCTGTAAATGACAGTTCAGATTTCCTGCATAGTGCAGAGTGACGTGAACAAAACAGAATTTGGCCTTTGTTGATATTTAATTTCTCTCTTCCTGGCCCCCAGAACAAAGTGCAATCTATAGCATATTAGTTAGCAAGGTTAGATTTGGTATTAATATGTATATAAATGACAATTCACCCTTCATGTGAGAGGTAGCACCAGTGATTAAAGAACTTTGTACTCTTCTTTTCTTCCTTCTGCCATTTAGGGTAAAAAAATATAACCTTTTATATTTATTTGTGTTGCATAAGGTCATATATAGCTGTTGAGATGAAAATGAGCAATCTTTTCTCCATCTTCTGAGCAGCAGTTAGCAGAGAGCTGGGTGAGCCTCAAAGCAGGCATCCAAATACTGTAGAAAACTTGAAGGAACCACTGGAGGTTCATCTTTTACCTTGTGGGCACTGTATCTTCAGATGCTCAAATTCCAAAACTGGTTTGAACCCACACATCTGTGGAATTGAAAATACTGATACGTTTTGCAAGGATAAGCAATTGCTGAAATTTCTGATTTCAAGTGTGATTTAAGCATGTCTTAAAATGACCAAATGAGTCACATATAAGTCTTACAAAGAAATATATTTTCCTTGCTATGTGTGCTTAATAACTTTTGTACAGGGCATCTGCATGGGTTTAACTGAAATAATTTAACCAGTTTAATAAGCGATAAAATGAGCTTAGCATAAAACTTGCTTCAGGAACAAAGTATTTCAGCTTGTATATGGGAGGTCATGGGGCTGATTTCTTCTGGATTTTGAAGCAATAGAGCACTGAGGTATTTTTGTATCAGTTTTTTTTTTTTATTAAAAATTTTATGTTTTCAGGCATTGAAGTGTATGTTCTTTCAAAACTAAAATAATTTGTTTCTGTTCAGAGAATAATTGATGCCCTGGAAGAGGAAAAGCAGTTTCTGACCATGTCAATCACAGATTACCTGAGGGACTACCAAGAGCTCCTGCAGGTGAAAGCAGGCCTCATCCTTGAAATTGAAACCTACAGGTAAGATTTGTGGTCACACTCTGTCTAGACAGAGGATAATTTAAATCCCTTTTCATAGATAAGGGAGTCCCATCCATCCTCTTTCCAGCATTTAAAATGTAAACAGTGACTTTGGGAGTCTCAAGGCTCTAAAGCCGGTATAATTCATAGGAGTCCTATTAAGTTGGTATGTAAGAAACCTTCTTAGTCCTGGTTGAGTGCATATCAGGTTGATGGGTATCTTTGACGCAATATTTGGCTACAAGCTGAGGAGACAATATCCCTGAATTGCAATAAGTAAAACTTGAGGTTGTATTGTTGCCATCAATTTACATTGCACTTTTAATTGTTTAAATATGTTGATTAGTGACCACCTGCATCACTTAGGTAAGCAGTGAGTTCTCCATCCTTGTTGCAGTTGCAGGACAGTGGGAAGATATCAGAAAAGTCTGTTTGGTTAAGTCCTGGCTTTCTCCATCCTTGATTTGTTATGAAAACATGTTTAGATCAAGTGTGAGATAAGAGCAAACAACATTTCTGCTAATGAATCTTCAGGACTGTACCTCTCTCTAACCACTAAGTAGTGGCTTAGTGGATTACTAAGCCAGAGTAATTCTCTTGTCTGGAGAGTCATGATGTACATGGCACTAAACTGATTCAGAATGCAAAAGATCCTAAATAAACCAAAACTGATGAACTGGAAGAACATTTTTCCTTCTTGTAAAAATGATGTGTTTTTTCTACAAATAGCACAATATTTTCCACAAATTCATCGCGATACTGATCTTCAAATACAGAGAGATGTGCAAGTCTTATTGAGCAAAGGGATAATTTGAAAAAATTTTATGTCAGGCTACTTGTGTGTTTTTTAAGGAGACTGCCTCTGTCATTACCTTGTCTACACTGGGTGTATTATTAATATTCAACCTGTGTAATCAGATGGGGTATTTCCAGTTAAATATAATACCTGCTTCTGTGTCCTAAAGCATTAATGCTGTGTTCTGAATGTGAACCAGTAGGTCTGGATAAAGATAGCACCAGCTTAGTTATGGGTGAGGTGCGTGAGCTATCAATCCACTGATGCATATGAAATTTAATTTCAGTTGCATAACTGAAAACATGAGAAACTTGAAATAACTTCTGAGTAGCTTGATAAAGAGTAGTGAGCAGACAATGTCTTCATGAAAGAGCACCAACAGCCTGTTCAAGATGCCTTGAGAATGTCTGCAAGGAGGCACAGGCCAGGGCTGGTTTCTGGATGAGATAAAATCACAGCCAGTGGGGGACAAGTAATCTGCAGTCACTTGATAAGCAACAGAACGTTGCTTGATGTTTGTTGGTGGAGTGGGATTTCTGTGATCCTTGGAAAGCCAATAGTGTCTGGAGCATTACTGTGGAAGTAGTAGCCAGTTGTGATCCTTATCTATGTGGGTTAATTCTGTTAACTTTGCTAAAAAACATGATTCTTCTGAATTTAATCCCAGCTCTGTTGTTGACTTTCACTGCTGTCATTGAACTTTCTCCCTTGGTTTATTCATCTGCAAAACAGGATTAGCACTGTCATAATAACAGAATTATCAGGGTTGTTTTGATGATTAGTATTCATCCAGAACTAGGAATGATAATGCCCAGATATTCAGTTGTTTGAAAACCTTGTAAGCCCATGAAATTCTGGAATTTCTCCAGAGTTGTATCACTGATTATCTGAGTGTTACTGGTTTGTCTAAGGATTGCCTGCCTTGGTTAATGAAAGGAGAACAATTCAGCATCACCTGCAGTGCGGTTTTTGCCCATTTAAGAAGATCCTTAATCTATAGAGTTTCTTCATCTGATGGATGTGAATGCAACTTGTGTCACTGATGGCCTTGGCAAGGCAGATGTCAGCGGAAAAATGAGCATCTGCCCACTAAAGATGAGATGAGAACAAGAGAATGGGCCTTGCTACAGATAAAAAACGTTAAAATGCCAGCAAACCAAATTATTTTAAAATGTCAGAATCTGAAAAGTTATTGTTTTGTTGATTTACATTTATGCAGTTTTACCTATTCATCTTCTCTTCCTTTTCTCCCTTTATTCAAGAAAATAGTTCCTTCCTTCTTGTGTGTCTCTACCAACCCTGCTGTGGGAGGGATCCCAGTCAGTAAGGTCAAGTAGGAGAATTCTGGACAGCTCACTCATCTGCTTTTTCAAATCCTGTTCCTCTCCCAGGTCTTCTTACCTGTGGGAAAAAAGGGCATGTGAACACAGCTTCAGTTGGTTTTCACAGAGGGTGCTGGCATATACCCTGGCTTATGCATACTGGAAACAAAAGGCACCTCCTCACACTCAGTCCAACATCCTGAACTTTCCATGGAGAGCTTCCCACCAAGGCCTGGCATTTCCTTTTCTTCTGGTCCTATAGGTTAAGGGTGTGATAGTTGGTCTTGGAGCCTTCTTTTACCTCCCACCCTGTGTTGTCTCTTTGTTTTACAACTCCTACAGTTGTGTTGTAAGGTCAGTTCTTTCCATTAGTCACCATTGCTCCTGGAGTGGGAAGAAGGATCACTGTTGCAAGGAACACCCTTCCTTAATGTCCAAGTGTATTTCCTCTCTGACTCTGCTCACCCTTCCTGCTCTGGGAGCTGAGATTCACTCAGGAAGAGAAATATGTGTCTTTGTGAAGTTACACCTCATGGGAATATTCATTCCTAAACCCTCTTCTCACTGTTGAAGTAAATATTTATCAAGTGTCTCACAGTTTTGTTCTGTGTCCTTGGAATCCTTCAAAACCGCAGTTACTTAACTGTGCTTAGGTTTTACTTCCAGAAAGAAGTGGTAAATTAGTCACCCTGTAAAACTCTTGATTTTAAAAGGAGATGGAAAACCTGCCTAGAATCAGAATTACTCTCAGACCTTTCTCCTTAGCTAGCAGAAACTTCTCTTCACATAGCAGAGGCGGCCCAGAGCCTGTACCAGTAGGTTCAGGAGCTTTTCTGTCCTCTCTAAAATATGTTGTTGACGAGTAAAATATTTCACTTTGAAATTCCAGTGTTTACACAAGTGTTCTGTTCAGGTTCCCACCCTGCATCCTGAAGCATCAAAGGTTGCACACTTTTTTTCTTTTTTTATTTCCATGGTCACTGTTAGGATCTCTGAACACACTTGCCAGGTGAACTTTGATTTGTGTTGCTCCATCAACACTTCTGAGCCTTTCCATGCCTTCCTCTCACAAAATCATCACCACATTAAGGTCCTCTGAGTTACTCACCACAGCTTTTTCTGTCAGTCTCATTACTTCCCCTTCATAACTTGCACCATCCAATAGGTTCTATTCCTGTATGGGTTTTATTTTGAGAACACACTGAATTTTCAACCCCTGGGGAGTTTAACATGCAGTTACCTGCTGTTCTTCACACTCCTCATCCTCCCATCCTGGGAGAATGGAAAAAGGATGTGGAATGACCTTGACCCCCCTCCTTCCTGGAGAGGAGGGGATTTTTTTTTAACTCCTTAGCAAATACCCAGGATAGAGAGGATGAGTTTTTATGGTTTGCTGGCCAACTGCCCTATCTGAGATTTTGGGGTTCTGTAGTTGAAATGAAATCATTACTGTCCTGAATGCCCATAGTAAAATTTGCACTACATCTTTTTGTTTTCTCTCCCCACCCCAACCACTTTATCACCTCCACCTGCTTTCATGGACTGGCTGTTTCTGTTGTCATCCAGCACAGTCTGACAACCATGTCCCTGCTAACTTTAGATAAATGCCATTAATAATGAGATGAGCTAATGGTGCAGTTGGATTATTTTCTAGTAACACTTAAATGAAGTGTTAACAAAAAGGGAGTATATGTAATTTGGGATCTGATTTCCAGGAAGCAGATGACATGGCTATTTTTTTTAGAAGAGTGCTGCTTGGGGCAATATTTTTTTTTTTTATTATTGTTTCTATGAGTGCTTTAAAGTTCATACAGTTGAAATTAAGTCTTTGGGCAGTTTAAGTTTAAAAGCAGACCTTACCACCAAGAGGCTATTATCAGGAAAGGATGCAGAGGAATAGAGAAGCACAATGACTTGCATAAAGTCAAGCTGTGGTCAAGCTGAGCAGCACAACCTGAGTTTGCTGGCTCAGTACTGTACACTGCCCTTTCTCGTGCCAGTTTAGTAAGCCAAGCTCAGTTTAACATTTTCTTGGTTTTCTGATAAGCATGAGGTCATACATATTATGAAGTGCCCAGTAAAATACTGATTCTCTGCCTAGTTTTACAGAGGTTTCAGGAATCTTTGCCTTTCACTTTCAGTAGTAATCCTTCAGATCCAGCTTTTCTGTGGGCTGCTGCCCTTTGCCATATACAGTTACCTCCTGGAACTTATTTTTAGTGACTTCATAGGTTGCTGCAGCAACTGAACAACTGTTGTTTTAACAGCAGCCAGAAATCCTTAGTCAAACTCCCCACATTCCTGCTTCCCTTCGTCATGGCTAACACTTTCACTGCCAGCTCCTGGATGAGTTTCTGCAGCGTCACCCCCAGCTTCTCTGGCAGGTCTGTCAGAGCAGTTTGTTTGGCACTCACTGGCTTCATCAGATCAGTTGTTTGGTCTTGGGAGTGTTACATGTATTGAAGGGATCTAATTCCTCTGACGCTTCTCTCAGCATGGAGAAAGGTAAATTAGTTTTACTGTGGGTTTTTTCAGCTCACAAAATAGAAGGAAAGATGCCCTTCTGAGCCTGTTTTAGGTAGTTCTAACCTGGCGTTTCTTCTGGATCTAGACAAATCCATCAAGGCAAGGAAAACCTTGCTAATGATATTTTACTAATGCCAAAGTGATCAGTCATGGGAAGTGTGAAGTATACAGGTGATGCTTAAAACACCTGCTTTGTTAGTTTTGACATAAATGTCCAGCAGATGTGTTTGTACCCCAGTCCTAAATGGCTTTCAGCTCCTGCCCCAGGGAGTCAGAAGCCTTGGCTATCACAGCCCTCCAGCCTTACTCTTGCCAGCTTTGATGTCGCAGCTGTGTCTTATCAGTGCAGAACATCTGGCATTCCCAAACCCAGAAATGCTGTAACTGGCTGGCAGGAGCAGCATAAACCCACCCAAGTTACTGTGCTGGCTGTGACATTCCCTTGCGCAGGCAATAACCCTGATGCAGCATTTCCAGGCTGCTGCCCCAGCACTGCCTGGAAGTTTGGGAGCTGTTGGAGTGTCACTGCCAAAATGGACAGAGACAGAGAGGGCATTAAAGGAAACCAAGCGGTTTCTGACACAGGGAATTTCCCTACTCCTTTTCTGTGAAATGTGTTGTGCTGATTTCCAATGGCATAGCAGCTAAGAATAGTTAATTTAGCACTATAAATTGTTTCCTCCAGCACTGCACTTGACAGCAGAAGTTATACTTTCCTTCATTTTTCATTTGAAAATGATAGAACTTGCAAATCCTCCTGAAACAGCTCCCTCTTATCACACTTCAACACTATCTTTACTGCTCTTTTACAAACAGGAAGGCTGCTGTCATTTTTTTTTTTTTTTTCATTTTTGCATTTTCTTTGTAAAACATCTTGCCCAGAGAAGCTGTGGCTGCCCCATCCCTGGAAGTGTTCCAGGACAGGTTGGATGTGGCTTGGAGCAACCTGGGATAGTGGAATGTGGCACCTACAGGATAATTGTTTCAATTTCTAAGACTTACAAATGTAAAATATTATGCTTATTGTTCCCAGTATTTTAATGAAATGCCCTTTGTGCTTTGCAGAGCTTTGTTAGAAGGGGAGAGCAAGCCGTGGATTATATGGAGAGAAGAGCATGCAGGGAAACTGCCTCAAGGTAAAATATTAAAAATTAATATTAAGAAATTAATTTTGAATTAAATATAACTGGAAATTATTATGTTATAGTGTTCATGATGTGTATTTTTATGGGTGTATTGCAAAGTGAATATTAAATTCATTTTGAGTGTTAATATTTTAAATCAACATATTGCTCTTCTATATGAGATACCTTATAAAATCATGGCTTGAGTGAAGAATGTAGGGAGTGATGTTTCGTAGCTCTAAAGAACTTTTGGATGGCCATAGGTCTTAGGAGAATTTTGAAGTATAAAGCAAGAGGTGTTTAACAGCACATGTAGCTAAAAATATGGAGTTCATCATCCTGAGGCATTGTGAGTGTTAAAAAGTTCACGTGGGTTAAAGAGGTATTTTAGCAGAGTAATGGAAGACAAATCAAAGACTTACTAAACATAAAGATACCATTTCTATCTTAGGAGCTGCAAATCTCTGGAGGCTGTGAGAGTATACAAGGGAAGTATCACTATTTACTTGCCCTGTTCTTATACTCTTCCCTGTGTATCTACTCTTGGTCCCTGCAAACAGGATTTTAGATAAGATGGACTTTGACTGTGACTGCTGTGGCCGTTGCAATTAATAACAGAATTAATCTGGATAATACTCATGAATTGAACAATGTGGGGCCATTATTGTAGTCCCAGAAGATATTTGAAGGCTGTGTGTGTAGCAGGAAATTCAACAGGCTCAGGCCTAGGCTGAAATGCTCACAGAGATCTGCCTGTGCTGTTAAACTGTGAGCACTGTGCCTGCATCTGACCAGCACAGTTTGAATCTGGACTAGCCAGTACTTCTGCAGACAATGCTCAGCATATTCACAGAATAGGGTAGGAATTACAGAGATATTACAGGAGACACTGCCAAAAGTCAGAGGATATGTGGTAGCTTTTCAGGAGTGAGAGATGTGAGTGGTGCAGTACTGCTTGGTCTTAACTGTCAGATATTCCTGGCACATTGTATTAATTTCTAATTCAGATAGAGCCTAAAAGGTTCTTTGTTTCTCTCCCTTGTTGTGCTTTACTGTGTGGCTATGAAGGGTTGTATTTGTGTTTGCAGTTTCTAGTATGTGGTGGCAGGTGTGCCATTAAATGTCAATAGGATCTAAGAAACTTCAGGCCATTTAGGCTAATGAAGCAAAAAACCCAGCCTATGATTTCAACATGCATTATTTAATAAGAAGTTGTAAACGAACATCGGTATAAATACAAAAAGTGCAATTCCTCTATAAATACCTAGGAGTGCACAACAGGTAAAATTAGCAAGATCTTGCAGCTTGAGAAAAAACTTTGCTTCCAGCTTTAATTAATTTATACACAGACTTAATTAGCAGGCAAAACCTACAGGAATGCCTTTACAAAGCTCCACCGAAAATGAAGGCATTATTTCTTTCAAAAAACATAGTGCATGTTTTCTTAGGTCATGCCCTCTATTTGATATTTGTATTTTAGATATAAACCATTATTTTAATGCTTGGTCACCCATGCTCTCTTTGCAGATATTATAAACACTTCATATAACTACACTGATATTTACTCTACTTATCAAGAAAGAAATAGAAATAAAGCTTCACCAGCTGCCAGGATCACTGACACGAGGCACAGAATGCCAGTGACAAATATGAGCAGCTCGGCACATTACTCAGCTCACTCCACGCAGGCTGGATCACACATAACAACGGGGGGAAGAACTTTTGGAAGGGACCTGCTTGGTTCAACATATCGCCCTTCAACGACTGTCACAAAGGATGAAAGGATTGTAACAGACCACAAAGAACTGAGAACATTTACTCCAGACTACAGTAGCTGGAGAAGCTCTGAAATGCAGCAAAAGAGGATTCCAGAAAGAAAGAAAACAGAAGTTACAACTTCATCCACAGTATCTTTTTCAAAAGAATCAGCACATGCCGAAAGATCAGACAAGGACCACAAGCTTGATGCTGAAAGAACTAAACCAGGCTTCACCAGATTTCCAGCTTATGAGCTGGTTACCAGTGCAAAACCATCTAAATATGAAGAAACTATAATTGAAACTCGGACCACACTAAAAGACAAAAGAGGAGGCAGCAAATCAACTGATGAGAAGACATCTCTGCTGAAAGAAAAAGATAAGCTGCAGAAACAAACAAAGGATGAGAAAAAGAAAACTGATGAGAAATCTTTTATAGAAGAAACTGTCGATTTTGGGAGGAAGACTGAGCAGAAAAAATATATCCGTGAGGAAGTTAGCCAGACGGTAACAGGGAGTGATATTTCTACTGCAAGAACTCTGAAAAGTGAATCGACCAAAAAAGATGCAACTGTGACCTCAGAATCAAGAAGCAAAGATGTCATTGAGGTACCAATCAGTATTGAAAGGCCTGTTCCTGACAAAGGGCCTCAGAGAAATAAAGAAATAAGAGTACAAGGTGTTAAAACTTTCATAGGAAGAGAAACAGATGACCATGTGACTCAATCTGCTGAAACTGGCCAAGTGAGGATTTCAGAAGCAGAGTCCAGTCTGGAAGGTCAAGAGCAAATTAGGGATGGAAGCCACAAAATTGGAACTCTGCCAACTGAAAACATAGCAGAGAATATTGTTGCTGACATTCTTAAAAGTTTCACACAGTCTTCTAGTTCACAGATGTCAACAGACACCAAAGTGACCTATTTTGATAAGAAGGAACAAGAAGATGAAGGGAAATTAAAGACTGAGTTCACAGTGCAGTCTCAAGTTCAAGAAGACATAGCTATTTCTGATGAGGGTGACTTAGGACATCTGTCGAACCAGGATGTTAGAAAAGCGATTCGGGAGGGCATTGAGGGAACTCCTTCCAAAGATGAGATAGAAGATATTGTCCATCACGGCCTGAAAGGAAGCGAGAGCGGAAAGAACGTGTCTGTGAATGTGGAGATTGTAGAGGAGCCACTGGATTACACCACCGATGAAAGGGCTGATTTTTCAACACCTTTCCAAGTAGAAGAAGTGGAGGATTCATTCCCTGAGAGGGAGAGACGTTACGGTGAAGAGGAACAAAACATCACCTTCACGTATGAAGATGTCAAAAAGAAGAAACCGCGCCATGAGAGCTTCACTCGCGTGGAAGAAGTAACCGAGGAAGATGACTCACCTATTGAACAGAAATATTTTGTATCTGTTCCTGATGATCATCCTCTTATTAATGAAAAAGATGATGACTCAGTATATGGGCAAATTCATATTGAAGAAGAATCGACTATAAAATATTCCTGGCAAGATGAATTTTTGCAAGGCACGCAAAGTAAGAGAGAGGAAGGTGTGAGCTCTCCAGAAGAAACCTATAAAGTGGTTGGGGAGGAAGCGAGTGCCCATATTTTAAAAGAGCATCCTGAGGGTGAAAGATCCCATGTTGAATCCATTGTTATTGAAAAAGAAATTAAAATTCCCCATGAATTTCAGACTTCGATAAAAGGGCTTTTATCCAAGGAAACAAAGGACCCTAAACATCAATTGAAGGAAGCTTTGGAGCAGTTGGAGGGCAGTCTCCCAGAAAGTGTGAAAGAGGAGCTCTCTGCATTAACAAAAGACAGCAGAGTGGATGCTAGTAACTTGGCATTTGATATCAAAAAAGTTGATCAGAAGGAGGAGGGGGGCTCAGTGACCATTGTCGCTGAAGTCAATCTGTCCCAGACCCTTAATACTGATGAGCTTGATGCAGATCAGCTTGGTGAAGTAATCAGAAGTGAGGAGGAGAAGGCAACAATACACTCCCTGAAGAAAGAGAGCTCAGATAGGAGCAACGTAGAAGTTTCTTCCCAAAGTGACAAATACACTCCTTTTGCTGACCAAGAGATCTACAGCTCCTCCACGACGAGGCGGAGTGGTGGCACTGGCTATCACACCACTGAAAGGATTGTTTATGACGGTTCAGTTTCGGAAACTGCAGATTATGGAGAGGCCTCTGACTCCTCACAATCAGCTGATGAGACCAGGTCCCAGAGGCGTGTCAGGGTTGGCCCAGCAGAAGTCCAGAGGTTTGAACAGGTCCTGTATGAAGGGCCTGGTTCTGAAACGCTGGAGCTCAGTGCTGCAGAAGATCTTGTTCAGAGAGAGGGACTGTCAGAATTCAGC